CGGTATCTTCTCAAAACTTCACATTAGCGGCAGTACAATGTGGTAAAAAGTGCCGGCTCTAGCGTGAAATCCACAAAATTTCACTAAAATACATATATCATAACACAAACAACCAATGCTTCCAAATGGATAGCGTGATAGCAATCAGCTTGTATGTGTTGTATCACGCTTCAAAGGTCTCACTCTGAGCACCAGAACCCTCGCTGGGGGTGCTCCCACAGCCAAATCCATATCCCCATGCTGTGAGATGAAAATCAAATCCAAATCAATAACCATATCACAACAACAAAACACCAGCCCGGGCGATCTTTCCCCAAAACCGTAACCCCAAAACCCAAATTTTCCCAAGAATCGCGAAACCCAATTCTATCCTCAATTTACTTTTTCTAAACACCCCGAGTATAACTCATATACATTTTTCTAAGCAAACTCCTTTTATGGCAGTATTATCTAAATTATTAAACGGATTATTAAACGGATAAATATTAGCGGATAAATTTTCTAATGATCAAACCGCATTTATCTATCTCTAACAAAAATGTATTCTTATGATAACTTGTCTGATCGCGCATGCATTGCAAGAACAAATTGATAAATGTTACTTTTTCAATGATGAATTTACTTGCGAGAAGAAAAGCAGGTGTAACAAATAGAAAGGATAATAAAGAAACAACGACAAAATAAAATCATACGCATTTTTATTTAATATCTGTAAACCGACTCAACCAAATATTTTAAATTTTAACAAATTATCAAATTATTCAAAAGTACTTAATCTATGAGCTATTCTGTAACTTGCCCTTTTTTACTTTATTTTGTAATCCATCTCGCTCATACAATTTGCTACCTATGCACTTACTAACTTTTTTTTTGATCTAAACTATTCTTAACTCTTTGATCTAAAACTATTCTTAACTCTATTCTATCTTATTACTATTCTTAACTCTATTCTATCTGGGCGTGCATTAATTGTAAAAAGGCAAAAAAAAGAACAAACAGTCTATAAACAATTTATCTCTTTTATATAATAAATCTCGTAAAAAGAACAAACAACCTGTGTAATAAATAACAATTCTGCCAAAAAGTATCATACAGTCATTATAAGACATTTGCAAACCGAATCGAGCATTGAATTAAAAAAAATAATAATAACAATTATTAATTAATCTAACTATTTGACCTATGTGTTGTACGGTAATTCGCCATTTTTATTTTTTCTTACCGCTTTACTTTCACTTTTGCAACCTATCTCTTTCATAAATCCTAGCGACTTGTGCATTATTCGATTCCGCTTATTAGGCTTTTTGCATTTCTTATACCTCCCGCGGTATTTCTACTTCCGCTAATAGCGGCGTATTTGCGACAGGCGTGCCCGAAAATTCTGAGAGTCGGTTCTGGCACCCTGCGTGTAATTAAATAATTCAGGACAGAATCTTTGATAGTGTCCATTTCATTACAATTATGGCAGACAATTCGACCCGTCATCGTCCAACCGTTTCGAAATTGTCCCCCGTTCGGTCTATCGCGACTTGTTCTGAAATGCGTAGGGTCTACGAATCTGTGCGAGCTTTGGTTGACTTGTAACGATGTAATCGTATCCGGTAAAGGTTCTATGGTATGGCGCAAAGCGCCTAATTCTTGCTCGCCCTTAACTAAATCATACACGCACTTATATGTATCGGCCCGCAATAGCGATGATGTGAATAGCTGTAACGACTCGTGTGAAAACTGCGCGGCTTGTATAATTAAAGGTGCGCCACACCTAACGAACGAACATGTCGAACAAGAAAATACAAGGAAGAACGAATAGGAACACGAAAGAGCGCGAATAATTCCAAACTCCTCAAAGCAGAGAGGGCTTGAATCTTTTTGTTCGAGGATGTACCGTGAAACGTCAGATTCATTATTTAAAGTGGCGGAAAAAAGCAAAATTATTTAAAGTCATCAAATTTACAAAATTTGTCAATAACAGCAATATCTTATAATAAACACAACATAAACTAATGCAGGACTGCACATTTTAACATCAAAAAAGAAAAATGTTTGTCTACATTCGTGGTAGCGTCCACACTGCACATACGAGTTCAAACATGAACGAACAATTCCCTTTGATGTACCGACAAATTGCGGAACATTGCTCGCCATGTTTGTTTATGTTCGTTCGTGATCGTTGTGGCGTCCACACTATGCTGTTGCCGTTCGTTCTGGTACGTTCATTTATGTTCGTTCGTTAGGAGTGGACGCACCTTAACGATCGCGGACGTAATAACCCTCTAGTTATATACCTTATTATGCTCATTTCGCTCATGTTATGATCTACTCTATCGCACAAATCAGTCATTTCCAGGATATAGCTTTGCAAATCTTCCCCGTCCTGCCTAACCCGTGATTCTAATAACAATTGCGTCCTTTTCCATACCCCGGAAATGCTAGTTCGAGATCTAATTTACATGACTCCCAATCGCGTAATGCATTTTTTCTCAATTGCTTCACATACCACGTGCGCGGCGCGCCCTCAAGGTGTTGTAATAAAAAGTCAACTCTATCCCTATCTGACCATTTATTTATTTTCGCCGCGTGTTCGTATTCTATTAAAAATTCTGAGACTGCTCCCTTACCCTCAAACTTTCCGCAATGAAAGACCGGGTATCTAGCAACCCCGACGTGACTCAAAGCATTATTCGCGCCCGCGGAAATTTCGATTCCCGTGTCGCTCGTTCCTACATCGGCTCGCGGTTGGTTCCCGTCGCTGTTCGAATCTTCGTCGCTATTGCGTGCAGCTTGACGAGTTACAATACGATTGTTCATGTTGCTGGTAGATGGCATGCTTCTTATAAACTAACTAACTCTATTTGCTTTCTTACACTTTATACCTTGAAAATAAAATAAACCGAGAGCAACCCCCAAAATCAAAAAAATACTAAGTCGCCGTCCACACTAACAATCATATTATTCAAGAAGTGCTTATCATCTAAAATTCAATATTTTCTGTTAAAAATATATTTAATACATTTTATGAAATAATCATTGAGATATACAGACCGCTAATAGCCAAAACCTTCGCTTTGCTACTGCCTGCCTTAACTTTATTGCCTTTTGCTACTTTAATTTTATAATTGCATTCACATATCTATCTGTAGAGCAAATACCCCTCAAAGAAAATATATCCGTACAACGGGGATTTGATTCCAACCACAACACCAACGCAAACATTTTTGTTCTAGGCATTTTTATACAAATTGAAATAGCACAATTTAAACCAAAACGAAACACAACAAGTAAACCGCGCAAATTATCAAATCACTCTACCGACGCCGACGCCATTTTGCTATTCTCGGGATTTTAGTGTGTCACAAAAACCAGATGTTGATAACAGGTTGACTGCCGACCGTAGTGTTGTGCCATTAGTGTGGAAATTTATAAATATACATATGATTCAGAATATGAGTAACACTTGGTTATATTTATAACGAAGTTTATTCACAGAAAAATATAGAATTGAATTTAGAAAATAACTTTTGTATACGAAGTGTAAGTTACGGTGGTTCAAAGTAGAGAGAGTTTTGCCGGTTTCTCCTTTCCAAACCCGGCGTCCTGGGTTGCCAGAGCAATCATGTTTGTTCTTCCGAAGCCTCGCGTACTGGGTTACCTGAGCAATGATATTTGTCCTTTCGAACTTCACGGCCATAGATAAACAAGTATAATAGATCGCTATGTCTGGCGGTTTGACGTTACCTCGATTGAAATACAAATTTTTAAAAATAGATGGCAGCACATGTATAATATTTAAATTACCCCTGGTTTTACTTCTTAATTTGTACGTATCGTATACAGCCCCAAAAACCTGAATAATTTTTAATATTGGAAATAAGAACAAATCATACGAAATACAAAATATATATTTTCAAAGATATTACATATGTTTAAAGAACAATTAAAATTATGTTTATATTAACAATTATAATTACAGTTATGGAATGTTTGAAAATATAATAATTATTATACATAATTATAAAATACAAAATTATCACAATTATGCTTAAATAATATTTCAAAAACTAAATATCTAAGTGAAGAAAATCACAGAAGTATTTAACTAAACTAAGCACAAATAACTGACTAATATTAATTACTTAATGACTAATATTAATATATTAAAATCTTAAAAACTAAGAAGAAACTACAAGCACAGGAGCACGCAATGAAATTACAAATTTAGAAGGAATGACAAATAATACAAAAATTTAAAGGGTTAAGAAAAAAACAAATAATTTGTTAAAAAGTACAAATACTTCACAAACAAAAAATCCTAAAAACATAAAATATATATTGATATCAAAATTGAGAGAAATTCAAATTCCTAGGATTAAAACTCATTTACTAGACATTGTTCTTTATTAATTCTGCATGTAATAGTTATTTCGCTATCTAATGAATTAATAGTAAAGTTGCATTCAACAAAACCTTTGAATAGTTTTGTACGAGTGTTTTATAACATTACATTTAGCCATGTTCCATCATGAAAACATTATCATTGAAATTGCCATAAAAGATCAACAAAGTGTTTACAATGAACAGTTGCAACAGTTGCAATATTTTTGATTCCCAAGGTCGGTAACAAATATATCTTGAATTTAATAAACATTATATTGGGATGTTACACAAGTTTTATTTGAAGAATATTATAACACTAATCTTCAATCGAAATACATTAAAATATTATGTATGGTATAGACCAGAGGTGGGGAACCTTTTCGTCATTGGAGGCCACACTTAAATTAGGCAGCAATAAAAGAGGCCGCATAAGCTTATTGACCTAAAAAGTGACTTTTGTGAAACTATTATAGTTTTTTTTATAGTTTTAACAATATATTGCATTATATAGAAAAAAGTAAATAAAATACTTCAAAATTTTAAATATAATATAATATGTAATAATAATAATATAAAATGATATAACAATATTACAAAAAAACAATAATTTTTTTTTAAACACTAAGTTAGTGACTTATTTGGCTTTGTTTTTTGCTTGATAGTAATTTTATATTTGGATCAATCTTTGAAACACACAGCTTTAGTTGATCCTCTAAATGTGTATCTGTGATTTGCGTTCGCAAATTCGTTTTTATTTTTGACAAGAGGGAAAATGTTGCCTCACAACAATAGGTACTTCCGAAGCAGGAAAGTAACCGGCGAGCGTGTTCTCGAAGGCGTGGATATTCAACAGCATTTTTCCAAATTTCTATGGGATCCTTTTTGGAGTTAAAAAGAGATTTGATGATACTATCTTCCCCTAAATCAATTAACTCCATTTGCATTTCTGGAGGCGCATCGGATATCTCTATTAAATGTGGTTCAAATGCAAGTTTCATAGCAGGAGTGTGCTCGTCAAAATCAGAAAATCTCTGAGTATACTCTTCTATTAAACAATCCAAGACACCTACGTATTCATCGAATTCTTTATTTTCACAGTTTTGCTCATTTAACACTTTAGTTAGCTCCGGGAAAAATTGTTCTGATATTTCCGATCGACAAAGCAATGCTTTGAAAAATAATAATTTTTTTCTAAACGCTTGGATCTTTTGCCACATTTCATAAATATATCTTGTTTCACCTTGCAGGCAAATATTTAAATTATTTTGCTTTGTCATCATATCAGCCAAAAATGCAAGGTTTCTCAGAAATACTTCATCTGATAGATCACATAGCTTTCCTTGTTCTTGAAAAAAGTTTAATATTTGTCGTCTAGTCCAGTCATTTGGTCGATTTGCCGGTACAGTACTCCGGGAATTCTGAAAATTGGTAATCTTATAGATTTCGAGGTGCTCTTTACGAAAATCAACTTTGCCACCTCAAATTTAAACGGCAAGTTGCCGCCATATTGGAAAAATGGCGTCAAACAACAGTTTTTTTAAAATATCTCCTTTCTGGCTGATTCTGCGATAAAAGTATCTATGTACGAATTAAACTAGATAAAATTTCCTACAATTCCTCAGAAAACCGTTTTTTTGTAAAATTGATAGTTTGAAAGCACGGCCGCCTCAAAGTCTTTGCTGCTCTCGCCGTAGTATCAAATCTCTCCATATATGACAGCACTTCGAACTTGACCACATTCTCTCTAATAATTAATATTTTCAATGTTAAATTAAGCGAATAAGATCTAGAAATAAAATAATTCAAATATTTTTCTGTTTTTTTGCTGATTTTTTAACGCTCCAAGCTACTTGAAGCTGTAAGGTGCTACTCAAGCTATAAGTGTAATTATAGCTACTTTGCCATTGAAGTGTTAAAAAATTAGCAAGAAAACCGAAAAATATTTGAATTATTTTATTTCTAGATCTTATTCGCTTAATTTAACATTGAAAATATTAATTATTAGAGAGAATGTGGTCAAGTTCGAAGTGCTGTCATATATGGAGAGATTTGATACTACGGCGAGAGCAGCAAAGACTTTGAGGCGGCCGTGCTTTCAAACTATCAATTTTACAAAAAAAACGGTTTTCTGAGGAATTGTAGGAAATTTTATCTAGTTTAATTCGTACATAGATACTTTTATCGCAGAATCAGCCAGAAAGAAGATATTTTAAAAAAACTGTTTTTTGACGCAATTTTTCCAATATGGCGGCAACTTGCCGTTCAAATTTGAGGTGGCAAAGTTGATTTTCGTAAAGAGCACCTCGAAATCTATGAGATTACCAATTTTCAGAATTCCCGGAGTACTGTACCGGCAACAGCCTTTTTTTGCACCAAATGACTGGACTAGTCGTAAAGACAAAACTTTTATCAAAACATGACCTGATGATAGCCAGCGAACCTTGCAGTAGTACGGTAGGTCAACACTATACGTTTCCTCATCTAACAAGAGCATTTGACGAAATTCACGATGACGCATTGCGTTTACGCAAATATAATTGACAATTGCAATGGTTTTATCCAGAGTGTCTTGCAAAATAGTTGATTTCGCGCAAAGATTTTGCTGGTGCAAAATGCAGTGGAATGATATCAATTTTTTTAAGTTTAAGTTTTCTTTTTTCAATAATGCAATGAATCCTTCTTTTTTGCCTCTCATGGAAGGTGCTACATCGGTGCAGACACTGACTAAATTACTGACATTCAATTGTAATTTATCACATACTTCTTTAAAATTTTCAAAAATATCGGCTCCGCGAGTTCTTCCAGTTAGTGTACCCAACGCAAGTAGTTCTTCGTAACATTGAAAATCTTTAGTTACGGCACGAATAAAATATAATACTTGCGCTGAATCTGTTTTATCAGTGCTTTCATCTAACGCAATTGAAAAATAAACACCTTCATTTCGTATAATTGTATGAAGCTGCTCTGTTATATTTTGCGCTAATTCGTGCTGTCGATCTGTTATAGTTCTTCTCGAAAGAGGTAATTGTTTATATTTGTCGACATTTCTTGGATCTAACATACTCACTGCTTCAACAATACATTCTTTAATCATTTCAATGTCACTAAATGGTTTGCCCCGTTTTCCAAGTATATGTGCTATTTTATAGGAAACAGCAACTGCAGCGGAATTTTGATTGACAAAGGCACTAAAAGATGCCTGCTGATGATGCTTCTCATTTTTCAACTTTCGAAGTGCAGTTTTTCGCGATTCACCTTCTAAAGCGAAATATTTATGCTCTTTATGAGTCAAATAATGTTTATTTGCATTCGCTTTTTTTAAAGTATTTAACACTGTATTGCACAACAAACACACCATTTTATCTTTCTCAGGACTAAAAAAAAATCTAACTCCCATTCTACATTAAATGTTCTATTTTCATCACATAACTTTCTTCTCTTACAATTTGACATGATGGATAAATAAAAAAACGAATATCAAATAATTTTTTTAACAAAGTCTAGAAATTCAATAAAGCCGTGTAACTGTTACAAGATTGCACTGTTAACTACAGTTTGCTGAAGATTGCAACTGGGTAGCTTTACAAAATGCAAGCTAAATGTTGATGCGACCAATAAATATCGATGTAAACATATTGTCTCCGAACATGTGATTTGGGCCTATTTAACATGTGGCTGCCTCCCTCATGCGTCTTATGGTTCCCATCCACTAAGCAACCAGGCAACTGAGCAATTTATGACAAAATGACCATATATTGAGATGTAAATTTCTTTGAGTTCTGAGTGTCGAAGGAAATCGAACGAAATTTCATTAATTTTTCTTGAAGATTGTAAAAAATGTTGGTATGTTTCGAACGTATGTAATGAGATAAAATCGACTTTGTTTCGATAAAATCGAATTTTAGTTTGTTTTAATTTCATTTACATTCATTTTTTATATAAAAATGATATTAAAGTCTTTTGATTTTCATATTCTTATTGTTACATAATTATTTGAAATAAAAAATTATAAATTTTTCTATACCATTGAATTCACTGAGGTTTTTATTTTCCAAACTAAGGTGTTAACGGTTAATTCAGGGAAATTTGGGCTTCGAAAAAACCAGATTAAATTCATTTGTGAACTCTTGGTATGAATATTCCTGCTTGCTCTCATTCATGACAATAGTTATCATAACAAAAAAAGAATTAATGCATTAAACGCAACGTTACCTCTTTCCAAAAGAATTATACCTAGACACTATTGACAGACACTTAAGATATAATTTAAAAATAATATTAATAAATGATGTACCTACTCCATTTAGAGAATAATAATGTTTACCAATGAAAATTAAGCGTATTATTTTATAATGTATAAACTTTGATAATGTATATATATATAATGTACGTGGAAGAAATATTTTAATTAAAATATGCATTTATTATGCATAAAATGTATTGTTCATTTATATTTTGCATTTGAGTTGTTCTTATTTCAAATACCTTACTCTATATTTATATTTCAAGATTTAAATATAAATAATTTCTATATATTATGTGCAAATAAATACGGACACATATTTTGCCTACAGCTATTTTAAAAATATATTTTTTATTTTATGAAAAAAGGTATAGTTTTGTGTCATTTTATAACTATGGTCTCATAAAATTGCCAATATATCTTGGTAACATCTGGTTGCACCGATCTCCGGCAAAACTGCGAGGAGTATAAATTTTTATCATTTTACTACAGATGCTAACGATTCTTTTGCACTGTTAATTTTTTTATAATACTTCTTGAATCATATAATAGGCGATGTCTTGCAAAATCGAAAATATTGCTTATATTAAATAATATTAATATAATATATTATATCTCTATTTTGTATATGCCTAAAAGTCTGTGTTTCAGGCTAGTAATCTGATGTCACGTTACATGAGATTTTTGTACAATAGTTGTTTGAAAGTAACTCTGATATTTTGTACTAGACGGCAAGGGGCCGCACAAGATCCTCCCGGAGGCCGCATGCGGCCTCGAGGCCGCAGGTTCCCCACCTATGGTATAGACTCTCTTTATAAGTGTTTTCATTTGCTAATGTAATAGATAATCTTATTAAATATAACAATGAATTTACGTTGATGAACATTTAAACCAATACTAGTTTACTTTATAAGTGTTTGCATTTGCTAATGTAATAGATAATCTTATTAAATATAACAATGAACTTACGTTGATGAACATTTAAACCATACTAGCTGAATAACTGTTTTGCAACTTCAACAATATGAGATTCAATCCAATCATATAACAATTCCGAAGATAATGGTATTTCATCAAACATCAAAACACAGTATCTGCTACTAATACTTTTTAAAAGAAATAGCTGAACCTAATGTTTTAAATAGACACTCATAAATACCGCTATACACTTGTATCTCTAAATGCAACTTTCTCAATGTTTGAGGACATGGCAAAATAAATATTTGTCTCCAAAAATAGTAGACCTTTGGAGACTTTTTGTACGACTTATTCCTTAAATTATTGCATTGTTTATGAATCCTTCTTGTCATTACATATTGCATTCCTTGGTTGTCAAAAGTACTCCTGCGCTTTGTTCGTGCATTTTGCAGCAATTTGCAGGTACCCCCAAGACACCTATTCAATATAATAACATGTTGACATATCTTGATTATATATAATTATTGCTGCAATTATTATTAAAAAATACATTTGCGGAAACTTGTATTGGAATAGCTAAATATTTTAACCCGCACTTGACACTTTTTTGGGCACTATAAAAACACTTTGCCATATTAAATTTCACAAATGTTCACTTAAACAAAATTAATTAATTAGAAACAACACGAGTTCAAAAAGTTAGGTTATTCGTACAGCCATACAGACAGCGATCAAATACTTGACAGCCACTTGTATGAACCACGAACAATTTGTAGTTGAAATTGAGTGCACATGAGCCATCTGTTTTTAAAAATTGAAACTACTCAGGACCAAAACAGTGCAACGCGCATTTGTTCGAAGATAACTCCCCATGTTCACGGCGGTGTATATAAGTGACAGATGGCACAACATTATCCCTTAACTAGGGTTCAGTACTATAATCATAAATCAAATCACAAATTATCAAAATTCACATTTGCAACCCAGAAAAATAGAAATAGAAATAAAAATATAACTCAGTGTCAAAATATAAAAACTTAAAATTAGAAAAATTACATCTAGATAATTGAACTTAATCTAAAACGTTATTTCATTAACAATGGTAAAAAATATAAATATTAACACAATTAATATATTACATGAGTTTTAATCCTATTAATATGAACCTTTAGTGATTTAGATCCACACAACAAAGTATAATTAACAGGCGATGAGAGAAATTATTTTTGTTATAAACAACTGAAATTTCTTTATATAATTATAAAAATGGGAACCAATATAATATTTATTAAATTCAGTGTGAGTTAAGAAATGGGTAATCATAGGTTTCATGGATATTGGACACAAAGTTATATAAACATAGAATATTAACTTTATAGGAAAAAGTGAAATTATTATTTCAATTAATTTCTTTAAAAGAATTTAATGTTGTTATATTTATACTAAAATAGAATAATAAAAATTTGAAGAATTATTCGTATATTGAAATAATAATTTTAATTGCCCTGCCGTGGATAATCTCTTCGATAAAAATTCAGTCGATAACTGAAACTCGATAAAATAAAAATTGTTATGATCAATTTTATCAAATTCCGAAAATAACAATTGGGCTTTAAAATTTAATAAAATATCATATTGATAATGAAAATTTAATTTTATGATGTGGAAGTTATGGATATAAGGTTCATCGAAGGGTTCTCGATACAAACTTTTAAGGAATTGGTTCTCGAAACAAAAGTTTGAAAAAATGGAAGGATTTAAATAAACGAATAGAATTTCTAAAAAAAATCAAAGAGAATTAAATATAGCTTTAAAAATTTTAAAATTAAAATTTTGATGAATAATTATCTAGAAATTTATTGATGGACAAAATGGGATGTTGATGAACTTCAATTTAGTAGAGAATTTCTAAAGAAACTCCTATTTGTATGAAACAACTCTTCCAATTGTGAGTATATATTGAGCAAAAGTTTATAGATGAAGAAAATGTTAGTTTTAAATTAGCCAAATAGTAATAAATCTTTTCAATACACTACAGTTAACTAATTTGAAATATTCAATAGGCAACACATTATGAAACGCGAAAGATGTAATAGTATTCTCTTTGTATTTGAATAATATTTCTAACTGGAAAACTACAAACACACAAAAATACAAAACAACAATACCAATAGTACATGTTTTCGTTTTAATGGTAATAAGTAAAACAAGGTATTTTATTCTTATAATTTTAGTTTTATATTTTTTCTATTTACTGCTTTATTTAACGTCGCACAAGATTTATTTTTGCTTAAACAATATACTGCACATTCTGTAACAGTTATTAGTAACGAAACTACTTGTCTGATGTTTTGTGATTCGATATACATTTTAATGTTTGTTTTTAGATTCAAATTTAATCGTACTATGGTTTTTATGTAATTATTTGTATCATGTAAACTCTATTCGAATATTTTATTATTTTTATCTTAAGGATTTACAATACCACTTTCACATACACGCGCATCACTTTTCTTTCAATTTTATGTGCTTTCGCTTTTGCCTCAGATATTTTATAAGATATTTCATATTTTTTGTAGACAAATTACATATATCAAGTTATGCTTATTGAACCAAAAAGCTTCGGAGTTTCAATGAAAACGTGTTATTTTCAAATTTTTATTGAACATTTTGAGCACACAGTTTGTCGCCTTCCTTAGCAAATGCTCTACAAGTTTTTTTTAAAGCTTAATTGTTAATTCAAAAGTATATCTGATCATGGGTTGGAACTGGATCTTCTCGTTTATTATTGAATTAAACAAATCCCACACAGCACATACATTGAAAAAAGTTCGATTATATATATATATATATATATATTATATATATATATATATATATATATATATATATATATATATATATATAGGTAATATAGACTAAATTGTTAGATTCTAGGTCAAAGTTCAGCATATGGGTTGAAAATGGATCGTATTTTTTTTTCAATTAAATAAATAATCTGAAATTATGTATATTCAATGAATTAAAAATTCAATTAATGTTAAATTAATATTTATATTCCAGAAAGATAAAAATAACTAAGCATTTTGCGGTAATATTTTATATAATATAACTTAAAATTGAAAATTTAACTTACAATCACAAGGATACAATAAACCTAACCTAACAAAACAATACAATAAAAACCTAACTAAATA